TTAAGATGAAAAAAAAAATGTCTTGTATAATTTCAAAGGGTCTTTCTAGAAAATTGAAATAAATGATTGTATCAGTTTTAATTTTCTTGCACTGGAGAAATGCAAAAATATTTTTATTAATAACTAATAAGAAGAAACAGGATGCATCATACAATATCAATAATATCGTTTAGTAATTACGAAATCATGATTATAATGTGATCATCTTGATACTTCCAAAGACTTAATAAAGTTTATATTTTCGGAGAATTGAATTTACTGTATGAAAAACTCAATAGTTAAAGTTCAAAAAATTCAGTATGAGGAGTAGAATATATTCTTGCAGGACAAACATTTTTTGAGTCCGAATGTCTCGTGGGATGAGACAAACAGGATTTGGGACTATTCCACAGTACTCTAGGTTAGATGTGTATGAGATTAAGATTTTTTGCTTCCTATTTCGATAAACTTTTAAAATGTTTCATGTGAACCAAGATGAATTCATGGATTTTTAAGTGTAGAACTTTTTACAAATAAAGATTTAATATATTGAGGATGACAGAAACTCAACGATTTTATAAATATAAAATGAATTCTAAAAATCAAAGATGGTTCATGGTTAATATATATATATATATATATATATATCAAAGTTGACATTAAATATTCTACTAAAACCGTGAAATGAATCCCAAAGGACAATAAAGAATACAACATGGACACATCAAACATGCCAAGCAATAGCACAAAAAAAAACCATTCGTTTATTGTAACCTAATTGAATATAGACATTTAATTGAGAAAAATTGATCGATAGTTGCACGATGCATAGTGTTAAGTTAAAGTAAATTAAACTATTGCGCTGAAAAACATTCAAATTTGACAAATACGTAATACTTATCTAATTCATTGGGCAACATGAAATATTAAAATCATTATTAAATAAAATACGCAGATAATTTTTCGAAATGTTTTGAATGTTCTAAAGATAATAATAATAATATTAACTAGATCATTAATGATATCAATAATTAAAATAGATAAATTAAATTAAAATAGGGACTCAAATCCTTTTTAGGTTTTTATTAGAATATTATGTAGTACCTAAGATTGAAAAAAAAATCATTGAAATTGAAAGAAGGTATGTGGGAAAGTTTCTTCCTGTCAGTTTGTACATAATATAATTCTTTCCTTATTAAGCTGCTTCCAGTTTTAATTTAGAAATGATTTTATTTTTAATAGTTATGTCAACATTTAATGATAATTCGTTGTTTTTGTCTTTATAAAGCAGCACCGTCACACTCTCGAAAGATAGATATTATATTGTGAATGATGGTCAAATTAATATTTAGACTGCGAAGTATGATTCTTTCTTGTGTGTCAATTTTTAAAAGAATAGCAATTACATTATATATCATATCTGAAAGTAATGACGTCAGGTTGAATTTTTAACATCGACATAAAGAAAATAGTCTTTGAAATATTTTGAAAATTTAACACCGTTATCATAGCAAATATAATCAACTTTAGTACAGTTGATCCGTATTGCATCTCTTTCAAAATTGTGTATTACTATTTTCAAAAATTCATAGTTGGCATCAAGATCAATCATTTGGCAAATATAGTTTAATGTCAACTAAAAATAATTCGACACAATCATCATGAGCGTCAGCCAGATTGAGTTCAATAAGATGAGAATATTTAATAATTGATAAATCTTGATTGTTGTTCTTTGAATTTTTGTATGGTTTTTTATTAATTACAATTAATTCTTTCATAAATGTTAAATAATCCATCTGAAAAATTATTTGTGATATTATCATAATATTTCAGTCTATATGGATATGTATAAATATGACATATAACTAGAATTGGTTTCTCGAAAATAATCAACACAAGAAAGAATTTGACTATTGATAAAATCTTTGAACGTATATTGAATATCTTCATTTGATGGTAAATTAATTTGATTAGAACTACGATTGAATAAACGAGTATTAAATGTAAATTCATTTAATTGTAGCATATGATTGATAATATTTTTCTATAATTATTATCATCAACAAATCCTTTATAAAGATCGACCTTAAGGTGCAAATGGAGTGTTTCTAAATTCAACATTCGAGGTCGAAGTGGAGTGATACAATTAATTCATCATAAACACATGTATGCATATCACAATATATAGAAAAACACCTTAGATTGGGTCGGTTTTTCTAGAATAGGAAATAAAAATTAATTTATGTCGATGAATTTGATATTAATCAAAAACTATCTGTCTCATTACTAATTGTTAAATTAGTAAACTTAATTTGATAAATATTAACATTGAAATGTACGAAGTTGATTGAGCCGTCCATCAAGTAAATAATGACGATCAGTAAAGAAATCCACATAGACATGTAATTCTAACAGAGTCGAAGAAACAACACTTGGAGGTGAGATGTGAAATAATAATCGTTGATACCATATTGAAGATGGACCGAAATTTAAATATTGTAAATTATTAAACATAGTAAAGATATGTATAAATACAATTCTACTGAGATATTATAATCAAGTTTATTTTTATTTTTACTAATATCAATGACAAACGATGATATTTGATTTTTAACTATATGAGAAAAAACAGTATCGTCTAAACAAAAATAAAAATAATTGTTTCAACTTGAAATAAATGAAATGTTCAATAATGTATAATGTTGTACATGTCTATATGAAATACAAAGTAATAAACAATGAGAAGAGCAATAGACAAAAAACTCATATCTTTGATTAATCAGATAATTTTTATTAAGAAATATTCTGAAGCATAGAATCTGTCATCCATATTGTAATTGTGAAAAATCCCAAAATCCATATTTATTAGTTCCTAGAATTTGCAATTAAAATTATTTTTAACTTATCTAGAATGATAGAATAAACATTTCTCTTCAAAATCAACCGTACGAAATGTACAAAACTAGTATTTCCATACTGAGTACGAGGAAAAAAAACGACTCATATGCCTTCCTTACGATTAACGTGTTCTAGCCAAAAAAAACATTGTAGAAAGCTGGAAGATGTTTCGTTATATTGAGAAAAATCTACTTTGTCATTCTAAATAGTTTAAACAGAATTCTATTTGTGAATTGTAGAAGCTGAAAAACATAAATTTGGATTTTTTGTAGAAACTCTATTCTTGAAAAACTAGTCATTATTTTCATCTTCAAACATTTTTTACTCAAATTATTAATATAAACTCTTCTTTGCTTTTATGGAAACAGAAAAAGATTGACAATAAACCTGGACGAATAAATGTCGGAACTATTAAAGGTTCAGTTTGATATTAATACTTTTAAAATTCTTCAAAATCTTTTATATAATGTACAAATAAACAAACAATCAATACTAAGTCGGGATTTAATAAAGTTAATTGAAATATTGACTAATAAGAAAAGATTATGGTTTTATTCATTTTATTAAAGTATTTCAAAACTGAAAAGATCTTTTTCTTTTCTATCAACGTCTGAGAGTATTATTTCAGATAAACAGAAATATCAACTGTATCACAATGAATAACTATAGATCCTATGAAGACAAGAAATTTCTTAAATTAATATTTAAGATTAATTATACTTGCAATAAAACGGCTTTAGCCATTTTAAACTGTTAGAAATCTGTTACGAAAAGAAATTGAAAAAACCAGGCAGGATTAACCTCCCAATCTTGGAAAATTTTCTTTTTTTCTCCATCGATATTGAGCGATTTTCTTCGTTATTTTTTGCTTACTAATCCCCGTAATAACAATAACCCTAGAGGCTGTCGGATTCAAAATTTTTCGATTCGATCGACCTGTACTTTGATACTGGCCATGAAATTGTATAATCGAAATTGAATAGTGTCCCCGAAGCTACGAGGTAATTTTTTCTGGTGTTTTTTGTACTTAGTAATCAGTCCACTCTACACATTTCTCCGATGATTAGAGTCCATCAAGTGCAAAATCTTCGGACTCAAATCCGTACCTGACGACCTCTAGTCAATCCATCCAACCATCTTAGTGACCTCAAGCCATTCCAGAAAATAGATTTCAATTTATTATATTTTTTTTCTTTTCATTCATAGTTGAGACTGACAGAATTTTAACATATTTGTGCTGAAAACAATGGTGCATAAGAATTGTACGCACTCTTTCTTTTGTTAAATCTGATTGGTTTCTTGATTTAACCATAGTAATTCAGAGTACGAACAAGAATGAAAGAAAGGAAGAATACAATTACTCACTCAATAGTTTAATATTGAGAAATCAACATGAGTGATTCGTTAGGAAAATTATCAAGTGAATTAGAATATATAATTGATAAGACATGGAATTTATATGTAACTGTTACTGATTTTCAAGCACAATCTCAACCTCGTGTTGATCAAGTACTTAATGAAATTATTGGTTTATTAAAAGATGTTGATCAAATGAAAGATCAATTTCAAGATATACATATTCCTGGACAATTATTAAAGTAAAAAATAAAAAAGATAATTCTTAATTTTATTATTATTATTTTTTAATTTATTCATTTATTTGTTTAGTTATGTTGATGATCTTAAAAATCCTCAATTATTTACACGTGATTGTTTACAACGTACACTTGAACGAAATGAAGAAATCAATGGAAAAAATGAAACACTTGCTAAATTTGCTGATACATTAGCTGTTGAATTAAGTTCACAATTTCCTACACAAATGGCTCAATATCGTCTATGGAAATCAAAACAATCTTCTATTGATCAGTAATCATTGTCTTTTTTTTGTATACAGGATTTTTTTTTCTTCAAGAATAAATATAACTCTAAAATTATAAAGAAACTATGTGACTTTTGTACTAGTGTATACAACTAAAATTGCACAAAAAAAACCCCATCATGATATCATTGTATTTTTATCAGTTACCGATGAATCTTTCTTGTTTTAAGTAGGAAGAAAAAAAAAACCAACACTATATATATTTCGGTCATTGTTTTCATGTGTTTTATATTTAATAATCATGCTCGATCCGCAAACATTAGATGAAATTGATGTACTAACACGTACTGTCTATGGTGAAGCACGTGGAGAAACTATAGATGGTCAAGCAGCTGTTGCTTGGGTAATTCAAAATCGAGCTGCTAAAGGTCGTACATATATGGGCAAAACTATTAAAGACGTATGTCTTAAACCTAATCAATTTTCATGTTGGAATTCCAATAATGTTAATCGGAAGTTACTTCTCGATTTAAATACAAAAAGTGAAATATATGAAAATATTCGCCGAGTTGTAGAACAAGTATTAAATGGAACACGAGCTGATAATACAAACGGTTCAACACATTATCATACCAGTCACGTCCAACCTAATTGGACAAAAGACAAGAGTCCAACAGTTACTATTGGCAATCATTTATTTTACAATAATATTGATTAATTTTTTTTTAAATATATATATATATATATACAAGAATTGAAAGCTAAAACGATAAAAATAAAGGATGATTTATGAGAATGAATCTTTGACATCAGTTTGATCTAGAGGCGTAATAAGGAGATCGTGAGTGGTAGAGAAATGTCTTACAATCTTAGGAGAAATCCATGAAACATGGGATCAATAATGGTAATTATTATGCTTTTCTTTCTTCTGGTGGTAAAGCAGGTTCGGCCTAGCTCACGTTTGTTTACGCCACTAACGTGTGCGCCAGAACTAAAGAGAAGAAAATGTTACGTCAATAACTCAACAACGACAATAAATAGCGACCTACGGTTCTCAAAAATGGAAATAAAAGACTTTCGGATGTCTTTTTTCTCTGACATTATATAAAACAAGATTATTTTAAAACGGCTTGTATTTATTTGCGCAATAAAAATACTCGAATGGACAGTAATTAAAATACGGTTTAGCAATAGTTTTTGAGCAATAAAAAACTTTATTTGAGTAATTTTATATTATTAAATATGCAATAATTAATTTATTAAGTAGCAGTAGTAATTTCATATTTTAGCAATAAAACAAAGAAAAACTACATTATTTTTTTATGAATTAGAGAAACAAAAAAGTTATTTACAATTGAAAAAAAAAGAAAAAATGAAAAAATAGTATATATTATTGTGTAAATAAAGCTTTTTTGCTTTAGATAGTATGTCTCCTTTTCTTTTTATATTTTATTTTGTAAAATTGAAAAAATATTTATTTGTATATATAAATGAATTCATATTGCCCTTTGTTAACAGGTGATTGACCTAACACATCAATACTGAACTACTACTTTATTGGAGAAATAGTAATTATATATATCAACGAGCTAGGAAAAAACCGAACACTCTAGAAAGAAAGCATGACGAATAAGGAAATATATCTGAACAACATCTAGAGAAAAGAAATATCCAGATGAGGGAAAGGAAAGAAGAGAGAAAGAAAACAAAAGATCTATGTATATATCGGAGTTGATTTTAAAATTCGGTCTCCTTTTAAAGACGACTAGTTGGATTTAAAAGACAATTAGTTGATTTTGAAATATTTTAAAGTCAACTCTAACATATATTTGTCGTACCTGTCATCTGTACGACATCGTAGAAAAGAAAGAAAAAAGATATATAAGCGAGTTACACTATAACATCCTTTTTATATAAAATTTACCTTTAATTTAAATAAAGTATTGTTCATTCAGTATAATTATTGCTCATTCTATATAATTATTGCTAAATTTCATTATTGCTCATTTAAATTATTTTGTTGCTCAATTAAATATAAGTTTTTGAAAACCTATTATCGTCGCAAACAATTTGGAAAACAATGCATGAAAACGGCATTCTGTTTGAAGAAAATTTTGATAAAAAGTCAGAATATTTGTTAAAAACCAAAAATGTTCTCTTCAATTTGGTTGAATAGATATTCGATTTTGTTGTCTCAAGATTATGATATGGGAAGATAATCATTTGAGTTGTGTCTTAAACTATAGATTTGAAATCTCATTATCAGAAACATATGAAAATCAAAACTACATTCAAATTGGACACCATTTTCATGCATTTTTTAAAAATATTTTTCGAAGATATTGAATTTAAAAATAATTTTCTCTTATATAGTTTCAGACAAAAACACGTCCGGAATTCTCCTCTTCCAATAGCTGAAAATTCCAGGTTATTGTCTGTTGCGGTTGTCGAGTTATTGAAATTATATCCACTCTTCTTCAATTCTGGTGCACACACTGGTTTTATCTTAAATTATGAATCAACATTTGTTCATCATTTTTAAACTTGCTGAAGTTTTCATAAGTATCTTTTATATTCCTTAACAAAAATTACTAATTGATTAAGCTACGTGAACTTTGTCGTTTTCTTATTTTTCTTATCTATTATTATAAAAAAAATTCCAACAGAAATTGCATTCAATTACAATAAATTGAAAAAATCATATGTAATTCATTGCAAATCAAGATTGATAAACTATTGCTCCACACACAGTTATTATCAAAGAAATATGCTGTTATATTTTTAAAGTTATTCTCAACTTTGTAAAAAAAAAAAGTATAGCACACTTTTTACTTTTTTAGACTATTTCTCAAAGATAACTTATTAAACAGATCCAAATGATGATTTCAATAGTCTTCAGAGCAGTGTACAAAACTCAGATGCAAACAATTTTTAGCGTATAGATATCTTGGTGTTTATTATACAAAGAACATTTTTTCTAGCAGAAAAAAGTTTAATAAATTTTTTCGCTGTTCAACGATAACTGAAAGATGTTTTATACACCGTTCAATACGGAATATTAAAAAAAAATTAATTAATTAATAAAATTTCGATTTATTTTCAACTATAAGATATTCCATGAAAAAAACGAGCATTACAAATAAAACAAAATTATGTAATTGTTATTTCAAAATAGATCGTTTTAATGAGATTTTCAATTTTAATTAATCATAATATTCATTACTTATAAAATAATCAACTATGAAATGTTAAATCTTGAAAAACAAACATATTTTAAAATGCATGACTTTCTCTTTCAAATGACACATCTTCACTTTCTGAGCAACATTTTTTGCGACTGTCATAGCATTCTAAGTGTTCAGTTATAATTGGATAACAAAAAAAATTGGCTAAAGACTAAAAAATAAACTAAATTTTTTTTCTTTCACTTCACTATTCAAATCATTACTAGTCTCCATAAACGATTCGAATTTATGAAACATGGACGTAATTGAATAAATAAAGTTTTACATGTTACACTGAAAATCCTATATATTGAGTGATAATGCAAAAGAGTAGCAAGAACTTATTTGTTCTAAATATTCGAGTAGATATTTTAATTGGGCTGAACATGTCATTGTCCTTATATACACCCAAAGAAAAACAACCACTTTACATGAATGCAATTACTTATATCAAACGGCGCAAAATAATTATTTGCTTGTATCTTCACTAATAATATTTATTTTCATTACCATGAATTCTCTTTTTTTTTTGATATAATTATTCTGTTTTTTTATTTAAAACTTCAAAGCATGACGATCTTTAGATGGTTCCTTAATGTGTAGTCATAGTTCTTCTTTTGCTTGAATGAGATTTTTTTTTTGTGTGTGTATACAGGAAATAAAAATGTTTTTTTTTTGACTTAAGTGCCAAAAGGCGAATGTGACAAAGTGCTCGACATACTTTACGACCCAGACTTTTCTATTCTGCTTTGTTATTCACAAGTTACACAAGTTTCTACTATGATACCTTTGAAAAAAAATATCTCTTTTGATATTTTCAATCGCAGCTTGCAATTTCAATCATTTTTTGTTTGTGTCAAATACACCGTTAAGTAACGAATTTATTTATCAGACGCTTGTTCAATAGATAAATTAACAGATAATATTTCAGTGCATAAAAAAGAAAGCAAATCGTTGGTAAGAAGAACATTTTTAGAATAAAACAATTAATGAGACATTAAAAGCTCGGTATGATATTTTTTTCAAAAGAATTAGGTCAATCATTCATAACATCTATGTTTCATATAGGTAAATAATTGAAAGAAAGGAAATTTAACAAAAAAAATCTTTTTTTTCTAATCAATTTTATTTAAGTCAGTTGCTTATATTGAGGTTTAATTGGTCTAGTTTGGAATCCGTTTAAAGTTAAGTATACTACCGACTTAATTAAATTTCTTTAGCGTCGTTTTTGAAATATATCTTTGCATTTTTTTTGCAAAAAAGTAATCCATAGGAATAGGAAGTATTCTTCATCGAAAATGGACCAACATACATCCGAAAGACGCACTTTTCTACTTAGGACTTAGGACTTTGCTCATTCATACCGAGAATGTCTCCGAATTTCTAGAAAAAAATACATAAATGAAACACAGCTTTGAGAAAGTTATCTTTGTTGATGACGTATTTGAATGGGTAGTACGTTTAATTATGTCTGATGACCACGAAAATAAGTTTTTTCATAAAGAACATGTAAAAATATTTCTTTAGAATGCGTTACAAAAGAATATTAAAGTGGTCCTGAGACACGCTTTTAATATAAAACAATGCATTATAATTAACCATCGTTTCCTAATAGATTTTTCTCTTGTGATTGTCCATCTTAGAAATGACACATCGCTGAAATGACAGAAGAAAAATATTCTTTATATTAAATTTAGATTTTAATTTGTATATAAAACGCTAAAAACAAGTTAATAAAATGCAGAAATCATTAGAAAAAAAAATCGGTTATCAAAAAAGTTCTTCTAATCTCTCTCCTTTGCTTCGTCTATGCAAAGGAATCTTCTAATGTATCGA